GTATCAACTGATGATGTGTTATGCATACAGTATATAGCCACTGACACCCAAAAGTTAATACAAAGTAAAGCATAAATGGTGTGCTGGATGAAAACACAGAGATGGAACGCTCACATTGCTGGATAAACACAACTCCCTGATAACACAGAAAATGAGGAGCTCTCCAAACAGAGTCTGTGTTGAGGAGATACAGGCAACTTAAAGGTCTAGGTAAACTTCTTCAGCAAGCTGGGGAAAATGACTTACACTGTCTAGGTAATTAAAATCCCGGGCAAGTTTACAGGCAGACTAGACTTTTAAAAAAAAATCCCAGTTAACAAAATGCATCTGAATAGTAAACTAAAACCTAACTATACAGTACATAATGTACATTAACTTTGTTTTAGGGAGAAAAAAAAACATTTGGATTTGCAAACTGTAATTGTCATCATCATTATTATTACCATTGAAGAATTCTCTATTAGCAGTCTTAAAGTGATATTCAAAACTATATTATTTAGGTAAGAAAATACATTTTTTGCTTTTTAATTATTGACACAAAATGTGACTCCTATCATGACACCTTTAAGCACGGTGCAGTCTTTTACTCTGTCTATACAGTATCTTGCCTTAAACATTAAATGAAAGTATTTAACAATGCAGTGAATACCAGAGACAAACACATCCATGTGTGTTAATGCTGAACCATCTGAGGAGATGAAAATAAACCATGTGGATAAAACCTGTAATCCAAGTTCTCACAAACTCTATGAAATTGTAGCATAAAGACACATTATTTAATTGATGAAAGTACTTTTGTTTATTACATTCTTAAAAGTCAATTAAAGTTGTATTTTACAGCTTTACCAGTTATTTTTCTTGACCACTAGATGTACACCGTTTTCCAATGTTGCCCTGAAGGGTCCTATGCTAAAATTTGAGGTCATGACCTGCTGATATTATTCTTAGCTGCATGAGATTTCTTACACTTCTTTCATAATCACAAGTTCTTCTTCTTTAAGGGAATCTTTAAAGTTTCTGACCTTTAGAACCTTTTATTCTGTTAAGTATTCCTTTATACCAAAGGAACTTGCTGCTACACTTCTTTATTCAGATACTGTGCATTCTGAACAGAGGTATTTATATCGACAGTTTCCAATATTCATTAAAATACTACATTTTTGTGTTACAGTTCGCACAAACTTGAATATTTTGGTGAAATACATGTTCAAACTGACATCACACGTGTTATATTATTGTTTTACAACGGCGGATCTTGTTCATTCGATTGGATTTTGCCAAGCAATCTAAAGGATTTCATTGAGTTCACTTTTGTTAATCATTTAGAATTCCTGGGTGACACGGCGAATAGATGATTACTAAAAACATGTACTCTATACAGAGAAAATGGTTTTCATCAGGCAAATTCAAGTAAATTGATTAACGGGTGATACAATTTAAGCATTTCTAAGTGACTGGCATGAGACATACGGAAATGTTTTGAAGTGAATAAATACAGTAGGTTTGATATATAAATTCTGTTTGCTCTGCAACAGTACAGTAGTATAGGAGCTGAACTATCTGTGCGTTCTCTCCCCACCTCCTCCTCCATCCAAAACAGCATCTAGACTGATACAATGCAGGGAGAGAGAGGAAACAAAATAATGGGGAATTCAGGCAGTCTCATCCGACTAACGCTCTAGCTACAAGAGCTCTGAGGGACTTAACGCAGCTCCAGAACGCACAACGATACAAAGCGAGAGACCGTACTCGGAGTAGCCAGGGAACAGTGGAGCAGACTGCTTAACAGCAGGGCATGCTCTTCACAAGTGAAGCTAATAGCCACGGGATGAACACTTGCCATCGCAGTTTTTCTTTCTCTGTAACAGCATCAGATACTGAAAGAAAGGGAGCTAGCAAGACAGCAGAGGGAAACTACAGGGCTCTGAATCGAAGGATGTACTGCACGCGTCTGCTCGACAGTTAGAGGCAGAGGACTCCCTCTGGATATAAAAGGCTACTCTGCCATCCCGTATCCCCCACCAGGCTTGAAGGCGTATTGGGCTTGTGATCGCTGGATCATCTGAGTTGGCAACACGACACACTGGGACAGTCGAGAGAAAAGAGTCTACATTCCGCTGGACGGTAAGTATCGCAAGAGTTGCGCCTGTTTCCATCTTTTTCTGTTCCTGGGGTGAAGTCAAATGTTCTGGGTGAAAAGTGTAATTGAAGCGAATAACAACTCATCTTTGACGCGTGCTTGGACCACTTGATGCGATTTTCAGTGTATTTTGATAAGATAATGATTTTAACAGTGGATATGGAAAAATCAGTAATAGAAGATCATTGCAGGGACTTGCAGTATTTTACAATAGGAGCGGAGCATTTTAAGTCAGCTTTATTTTACTCTCGTGAAAGTTTTTCAATAGAAACACTGTATTAGCGATTGAAAAAAATATTCTGCGAAAAGAGGTGTCGGTATTATTATTCATGTTGTTGTTGACTTAAAATATGTGACAAGATTTAGCCTCAATGCAAACACTGATTAGAGATCATTAAGGAACTGGTGATATGTGAAAGCCGGAAATAACAGGTTGTTGTGCAACTTGTTCAGCACATCATCAGCACCTTTTTGTTATTAATTATAGTACTCACTATTTCAATTTATTTTAATATACATGTACGTTTAAAGCGCATATCACTGTACCATCTGGATTAATTAATATTTGCCATTCGTTTGAATGACGTGAGTTGGAATTTGACGAATGATTAACTGGGATCTGGCTATCAAGTGTTTTTAATTGGGCCAATTAGTACAGCAGGCGTTGTGGACTTCATGTTAACATTAAGAATCAAAATTAACTAGACTAGAATAGGGTTGACAGCTAAATGTCTGACCTGTAACCGTTTATTACATTGAAAAGTGTTAGAAAAATACCTTATGAGCTTTGTCTTTTTTTGTCAATGTTACTATTCTGTAACATTTGATACCGACTTAAAGATATTGAACGCATATTTAGAATATTCAGACGGGCTTCTGTTTTATTCAGATGGGGTTGGTTGTATTGTAGTCGTAAATATGGTGTAGCTGTGAAAGGATTGCATCTACAGTATAGCTATTATATCATCATAAACTTACACCCTTCAGTAGGGGGTTTGCGGAGAGCACGTCTATCACAATGACTCTTGTAGAAGACGAAGTTAAACTTTTTTATAGTGGAATAAATCACGTTGTACATTTGTTTTATGAGTATATGCATATGTATATATGAGTTTAATATAAGCACGCACGACTAAATCGTCTGTGGTAGAAGTAGGGTAATGTTATTTACAGAGAAGCTCCAAAGATTCTGGAGATGCTCTTCGTCATTCTGCAGTTAGGTTTGCTACTGGGTACCACATCCCGATTGTGTTCCTTTATTGCTTGGCCCTCTTTAGCCACAGATTTACCTTAAGCAGTTCTGTGAATTTACATATAAAACTGCGAACTCCCAGTACGCCTGCAGAATGTGTTAACTTTTGCGGCTTCACATTATAATTTTGGAAGCAATAATTAAGCTTTGCCTCCCTGAAGTTTGTGTTTTCCTCCGGCAGAATTTCATTTGAATTTGCTGCTACTGACAGCTCGGAAACTCTCCTGCAGAATGACTTTGAAATCTACCTGTTTTTGGTCCGCTCTTGGAGTTTCAAACATAAATCGAAACGACTTATAATTGACAACTCTATGTTGTATATTACAGTTGGTAAAACTATGTGGTCTGAGGGTTTAATCTCAATTCAATAAATGTGGTGTGATCTGTAATGGGTTTGCTTGTTGATATGATTTTTAATATTTCTTGGCCAGTTTGTCGTTTCAAATCAAAATGTTATCTCACATAAGGTCACCTGTTAAATAGAGAGACTGGTTTATAATAACTGAGACTCTCATGCAGACAGATGATGAATTACAGATCTTTAAATGTCAGATCATGCTTTTCACTTTGATGGCTTTGGCTAAGTAAGATAAGACCTCTTGGATTTAGGTAAAGATTGACATTTGGTATTCCGTGTTGATGTAATATTGCAATAACAGTAATAAAAACCAGGACAAAAACTGTCATCACAAATCATTTACCCTTTTCTATATGTATTCAGCATACATTATTCAAAATTATTTAGAAAGAAAACTTTGGGCTAAGTAGATAGTATTTCTGTGTTTCAGTTGACAAAATTTCCAGGCATCTGAAGGTTTATCAATTTTCCCTCTCGTTTCCATTTTTTATTTGAAAAATATAATACAAACAACAGTCTCATTTCTTAGTCTCCTGTACTGTAACTGCCACCATTGTAAACTACAGTACTGTAGTATCATAATATCGCTGCTGTCTAAAAACAAAAGTGAAATATTTTATTCTTATTAAACACAAAAAAATGTACAGTTATCCTTCGGCATTCATTAAAATACAAAACTGAATTTGATACATTTCATAAATAGATTGTTTTTTTGCTGTAATTATCCTGTCTCTGTTCAATATGCTGTATTTGATAATTCACTGCTCAAAAACAAAGTTTATTTTTTTATTTTAAAACAGTCACTGCAAGCTTACGTTAAATGTAAGTCCTCACTCGTAATTTTATTACATAAAACATAATTAACGTTTGCTTGACTAGTACTGAATCTCATCTTGATTATCCCAGTTTGTACTCAACTATAATGTAACCTTTGGTTACTTAGATTGCTATTCACAATGAAATTGAAAATTATTGTGAATATTATTTTTTGTACAATAAAGGAAAGATGTGGACATGATTTGGGGATCTTATTCTAAAACCTGCTTTCCAAATCCTGATCCAGCTGTACCACTGTCACTTCGGGTTTTCATTTCAACTGAACTTCTAATAGATTCAACTTAGTGAGCCCTTAATCAAAAACATTGATTGATTAACAACTGTTGTCTGCACTCAGACTCCCAAATCCAACAAACTGAATGTTTTTAACTTGTTTGTGGTTCCCCTGTAGCTTTCTAAACAACTCTTATTGTTTATGAACTAATGATGTATAGATGGAGATAGCATTGTCTAACAGACACAATAACCCTTCTTAGTGTTGTATGGGACCACTGGGCTTAGCATTAAACACTGATTTAATGCTAATCTCTCACATCAATCTACTATTTAAGAAATGAAACTTTTTTTAAAATACAAGCAAGGAAGTCACTTTAAGAGCCTGACAAATTAACACATTTCAAATGGAATGAAAACTAGAAGACACAGGGGCACAGAATTAGGAAACAATGTTTTAAACTATTGCATTTTTTGGAGATACGCTTTTAACAGTTGCTGCAGGAAGCTAAAAATCTCTGTAAAATGGGGTTCCTCTTGCAAGCCTTCCAGTATCCCCTGACACCTTGTCCTTTGAAAACTAACATAAAAAAATGTGTTAGCTCAAATCGTTTTAGCTGGCATTTGGTGATTGGTTACTGTAAGATTCACTATGTGAGGAGTTTATTTTCACTTCAAAAAAGACAACACAGGTCTTCAGAGGTAGTAGGAACATCTGGTTAGCAAACTCGCATGCGGTGATATCTCATACAGGGATCTCCAGCCCTTGGCCTCATGACCCCACTGTTTGGTGTTTTTCATTCCAGCTGAGGACAGTTATGCAGTTGAACCCTTCTGCTCTTCTTCCTTCACAACTGGTCAGCAGCAGTCCAGTGCTTTCTGTTAGCACTGCCAGAACCTCTAATAGTTTGCTAAATCAAATTTAATTCAGTCATTAAGTTGCTGTTTGTAACAAAGAAACTGCAGCAAGGGGTTGAACAAATCTGAACCACCTATTTTCTTCTCTGGTGTTTGCCTGTGAATTTGTCCTCTGGAAGGTCTTAGCTGATTATTTTTGCTACCCTTTAGAATGTGAGCCCACTCAATCGCACATCATCTGCAACCTCTTTGCTTTTAAGCAGTGCAAAATTTAGTGATTTGTTTTTCTCACATCTCCAGCAAATATATTTACAAAACATAGCAGTGCATATGTGTGAACATACAGTATACATATTGGTAACTTACTGTACTTAATAAGATGGCCAGTGCTGTGATTTACCATTTAACTTTCAAAACACACCCTTTGTACTAACATCACGGACCACCAGGGGTCTGTGGACCACACGTTAGGAACCGCTGATGTAGTGAATCTTCAAATCCTGAGTTGTTGTATTTTTCCACTAGCAAAACAGAATGGTTATATAAGTGTGATCTTAAGTTTGTGCTTACTGTTTCGACTTCGGCCATACATGAACTTGCCCTGTTTCATAATGCGTTCTAGATTAGCCAGCCTGTTATGGTTTTAAAGTTTCTTACCTTCTGTAGCATTATTATTAAAATTTTCTTTTAAGTTGGTAGTTAAATGAGTATGCCAGAAATATTCTACCTGATCCTGCATGAACTGCACTGTTGCAATAGAACCAAAGAGCTTTTGAGTTCTCTTAGAAGTAACAGTGCTTTACTTTAAGTTATTGTTTAAATAAAATCTGAAAAAAATCTCCTTCATCTCACCTGAAAGGTCATTATCTACTCTGCAAACAATGTTATTCAAATGTTGTATTTTTGCCTAGTAAGGTTATGCTTTCAAGATCGTCCAGTTTGTTGGAGTCCATGTTTGTCAAAAGTACAGCATTTCTCACAATCCTTGTTCGTAAACCATAATAGGCTCCTGTCAGTGACCTTGTACGAACACTTTCCAAACACTGCCTCCAGCATTGTACAAATGGGTCAGGAATTGTTTAACTGGACCCTGGGAATGAAAGTAGAATCTAGTTTTAGCTTTTATTTTTTTCCAAAATAATTTTAACATGTTAATTTAGAAGTAAATTTGTTTGCCGGTTTTTATGTTTGTGACACTTGACCCAATTCTCTTTGACTCCCGATATGTAACCACTTTAATTTAACTCAGAAGGAGACAGACTCTCTTTTGATTAAAAGCTTGACCTGACCGGGATGATGTTCTTGCAAAAAACACTGACATGTTATTTGAACATAAGGGAAGGCCAGCAGTTTCATACAGCTTATGTACAGTAATATCGCCTTGACTACAGGCCTTTTAAACATTAAATATGGATCCTAACAGATTTTGCATTTTAAAACTCACATTTGTATAACATTATGTGGATATTATTCTCCCAGAATGTTCATTCTTAGCAAAAATCATGTTAAAATATATTTTATAATGTGATCCCATTAATTTACACTATATGGGTCTAAAAAAGACAGGTTTTCAAAACAAATAACTCACTGTAAAATACACATTTTCTAAATTTATCTTGCTGCAGTTTGAGTAAAGAAATCTTAAATGATGACATCTATAATTTAAATTTAAACATTAACCTGGAAATGGGGTATTCATACTCAATTGAAAGCCCTCTTCAGATTGTACACTGTGCTAGTCCTGAATTCTGCATTGTTTTGTTTTTGTTTTTTTCTGCAGGAACATGTAACAAGAGGCAATTGAAAACATCAAGTGCTTCGATATTCATGCAAGGGCAGACACTGTACTGTAAGCAAACATTAATGGACACAGGACATAAAGCGCAGTGGAAAGGACTACTGCCTGCAGATTTCTCTGAATCCCAGGGTAGTGAGAGTAAGCATTCATAATGCACTCCACAGATTAAAATGTAATTATAAAAGGCAGGGGAATTAAATACCATGTGTTGTTCATTTTAAAACACCATTCTCTTTTATCACTTTCACAATATGTGTGCCTTGAATGGCTAATAGTCATGGTGATTTATTTTCACTGTTGATTTTTTTTATGGAACCCTGTGCAACTATAGACATACTGTATATGACTCCATGTGAAACAAAGTTTTGATTTTCAGTTTCTTTCAACTATTCTTTAATTACTTCTTCCTGAGAAAAGAAAACTCAAATGACATTGTTGCTCAAATGGTGAGGTTTAATGAGAGTGAAGGCGTCATGTAAAGTCTTGGTTTTGATAACACAACATTAGTGTTGACCATGAGGAAAGACCACATACTTTCCATTTGTTTTGTGTTTGAGACAGAGAGAGTATTTGTGTGTTTAATAAAAGGATAAATATAAGGCCACAGGGGTTATTTAGATTTACATTTTTGTTTATGTGGACTGGAGCAAAAGATGGCTGACGCAGCATTGCACTTTGCAAATCACATTCCTATTTTACTTTTCATTATGGAGCAGCTTTATGTATCAATACATTTTATGATAATATGAAAGTAGTTTCTGTTATTAACTATTTGGATATTATGAACAACAGCTTCCATATTTTTCTTCTTGACAAAAAATGGCTTTTTAAGCTTTAATTTTTTTTTTATAGTTGGGCTGTGAAAGGGGAAGGGAATGTTTTCATTTTTAGACGCCTTCCTTTTAATGGAAAATAAGCAGAGTAATCACTTGTTGTAAGATGGTATACATTACATGGATTTTGGTGGGTAGCTGCGTCAGCAGCGTAGGCTGCAAAGGAACAAGTAATAGGTTTATTCCACGCTGAAAAGAGAAGAAAGAAAACACAACGTTTCGGCTGTAGAGCCTTCTTTGGTCTTATCCGTCCACTGAAGGGGGTTACCCCCAATCCTTTGCGGAATGGTGATGTTTCATGTTCTAACCTAACACAGCAGAGAGAAGTTGCCATGGAGAATTCACGTGTTAGTCAAACTTAACTTTTTAACAGTATTACGATTTTAGAGTAATAATCCATGTATTCTAAGTATGACGTTTTGTCATAGAAGCTTTTATTTCGTCACCCTATTTCGACTGATGAATATTCATTTATCCACTATGTATTTTGTACACGGAATACTTAACAGTACATGTATTTAATAGTACAAAGCTTTAGGTATTGCCGAGTTTACCTCATTTAGTTTACTCTGAATGGACGTGAATTAACGCATCCTTGTACTGACATTTTTGTGCTGGGTCAGACGGGACGAAATGCATTCAGTAATACAAAACTTTGAATGAACAGCGATATTCACACGTTTTCCTTAGTTTACAAAGGAAAAGCCTGTTTTGAGTCGAGCTTGCTCTACATGAATGAACACGATGTGACACTACTTTTGTACAGGGATAGACAAAATGAAATTCAATTTCATCAGACTGTGAGCGGAGAATGAGAAATTCTTAAAAAAATAAATATCTGCCGACATGCACTTACCGACTGGAAAAAAGGCATCAACAACAGAAAATATTATGACCCTGAGCCGTATAAACAGCGAGTGACGTCACGTTTTATAACTATGCCCTCTTGATTACTCATGCAATTTAAATCCACAATAGCGCACAGTAGGCCAGTTGTCACAGTAGGCCTTAGGGTTTAGGACAAGGGACATGGTATTAAAGTATTTTTTGATGTGGAACACGAAAACCTACATTATCTTCTTTTTGTCCTCCTACGTTTTTGTTTCCAGAATAAATGTTTTTTTCAGTTGAATGATCTCTTAAAATTGTCTAATAAACAAAGAATGATCCGCAGCATGCCTGTGTAGTGGTCAGAACCCAATAGAGGCAAAGGTAGTGCTGGAAGATAATGACAGTCACATTATTTTGTTTGTATTATATCTGGCATTTTGCCTCACACCTTTCAACTCTAAAAGATTAAATACACACATTTTCAGGACCTGTATGTGTTATTTTCTGCATGATCTCTTGTCACACTTATTTTGGTAAACTAACCCAGGGCATATGAATTGTACTAGGGTGTACTAAAGTGAAAATTGTTTATCTTAGAATTAATTTTTCTCTACCTTAAAAGAATTCAAGGAAATGATGTACAGTATCTCCATTTCCCATTATTAGTTTATACTGAACTTAAGCCAGCTGGCAGTCTTCTCAGCTGAGCTGGATTTTATTCAAACACTGAAGGCAAATTGGATCTGTGTGGTATGGAGTATAGTCATGCATGTTTAAAAAAGCCAATGAGGGAATATAAATTACTGATTCATATAAAATACTGTTATAAATGCATTCATATTGCTATAATATCACAAATTCTCAGTGACCCAGTATCTTTTCCAGGGTGTCTGTTTACCTGGCATGTTACACTGTAATTGGTGGTGCAGTCCAGAGTGGTTTCAAATACTGTCAAATCTGAGGTCAGATACAGCTTCTGGCAAAAGCTAAGTGAAATTGCCCTCAGTCCTTGGGGGACACTGTGAAGTTTGATACAAATGACCTTAAATTGAGGTTTAAACACCACTCCTAAACCCTCAACGTATCATTCTACTACACACTGTAATATGCATTGCAAAGCAAACAGAGTTTAACTGTTTAAAAGACAGACAGACAATTTTCAGATATTTTCCATATTAAATATACTGCACTGAACTAAGCCTCATGATCTTATTACATTGTGTACAGTATGTAATGTTTGAATTCAAAACATCTATTGCAACGTAGCACTGCAATTTATATAGCATATTTTTCATTTTGTAAACTGTAAGGGGCTGTCTTTGAATAATAAATGGAACCAACCAATGATTAAGATAATGGAATATGATATGATTAAGAATAAGACAGTCAATGCTGTCAGAACGTTTTTTTCAAACTCAAGAAATTCTAAAGTTCTTAAGTTTGTATACAATGTACATATGGTATACAGACCTAGGATCTGTATATTTTAGCAATTCAGATTGCCACAGAAATCAAATACAAATCTAAAAACATGTAAATGTGTGAATTACAATTACCCTTACAATTAATAGTTGTTCCCATGATCACGAACAGTATAATATTGAAAATATGTAATGCTTTTTTTCCAGACAAAGACTGGTGGAGATACAGTATATATAACCATACATATGGCTTGCATGTTATCTGACATTGTCCTTCAGGAGAAGCTTAGCAATTCCATTTTTGACAGTTTAAGGTTGCAGAGAATCTTAAAACTTTAAAATGTAAAATAATCTTATCTTAGATCACATGGCTGCAAATCTGAGTTTGGATTATTTTCTAGTAGAACCTATTTTATTCCAATGGCTGTTCATGAGATATAGACAACGTTCCTTGGATTTATTGATTAAAGGTGTTTAGATGGGATCTAGTCCACCCTGAGTGAGCCAAAGGGCTGCTATAAGAGAGATATGATCAGGCTGGTTGATGGTTGTTGTGCAGAGAACACTGGGAAGAAAAAAATTTATTACATGGAGGACGGAGAGGGTGATTGGTTGAATCCAGTGAATATCCACTTAAAAGTGTTATTGCCAACTCCATTAGACAGAATGTGTTCATGTTCATCAGAAGAAGATATCTTATGTTTCTGAATCTGCTTGCATGTGCTGGACATGAAATGTTCTATATCTTTCTATACTGTACATGCAACCATAGAACATGTACTGTAACTGAAAAAGTCAAACTGAAAACAATGAACAAATATTGTAAATCAAGCACTTGTGTAGTCTAGGAGAATTATTGAAAGAAAGGTGAATTAATGAATCTATATTTTCTCTTGTTTAAGTGACAACCTAATGTTTTTAAGAAATGTATTTAGGTTCTAAGGTATTTCTGTATGTTTTTAAAATGTTAACCTCCAAGGTCAGAGTGGAATTGCAGTTTCTGTTTAAGGTAAGTGAAGTAGTACAGAAATGAAGGTAAAGAGAAACATTTTAAGTTATGACACCCTGAAAACATTTTTCCTCAGTTATGACATTCAGAAAACATTTTCCCACAATTTAAGGGTTATTGACATGGGCCAATAGGCATGGGAAAAAATCTAATTGAAAGTGACAAATTCTGTGAAGGCTGGCCCTAGGGGAACTTGAATAAAACTGCTGCAATTCTGGCTGAGAGAGAGAAAAAAACAGCATACAAAAGTGGGAGCTCAGGGAGTTGCACTGAGTGGTATGAGAATAATATGATGAAAAAAGATGAGAAATACAGACTAAGAAGGACTGTTTGTTTAACTGACCAAAATGTGTATTTAACTATGCTGGCATCCAGACATTAATGTATGTGCACACAGCCTTGAAACTATAATTTGGCAACTCCAATCTATCCACAATAATTATGTAATTAGCATTAATTTTATATACTGTATAATTAAAAGTTTTAAAAAGCTTTGCTTTTTAAATGAACTAAATTAAAAGTTTTAAAAAGCTTTGCTTTTTAAATGAACATACATTTTCTCCTGCCTTCTTCTAAGTGTTAGTGTTATACACCATTTAATACTTTAATACATAGGTATACTTTACCTATGTGTGAAGATAAATTAATCAGTCCTTTTAGGAAAAATAAACATTATGGTCTATGTATCACTCTCAGTATTATACTAAAGTGCACTCCAGAATAATGGAGCTGTGATTTATTGCAGATTTCTTTTAAAGCAAGCCACAGGGAAACAGCATCCTTTTGAAGATAATACAGTTTCAGCAAGGTAGCTAGTGCTAGCTACATTCTAAATAGGACAACATATGGCAGGAGGGTCTCTGTTAAGCTTTAGAGTTTTTAGTTGGTTCTTGGGAGACAGAATCCAGAACAAGAAAGGCAAGCACTTAGAAATACTCAGTCTATATAGCAATGATGAAGTCGCTGGGGATTTGGTTGATTGAACCTTAGAGATTGTGTGAGGTCAGAAGAAAATAGGAAGAGTTTTGCTGCATAGAAAGAGTT